AAGGCTAAATTTGTACGGATTATGTTCCATCTGTGTAAATGTAATTCAATGATAAAATGCTTTTATGGTTGAGATCATGAGTCAATTAAAGTTAGACCACCATGGAAAACCTGAAAGTACTGGACGGCCGTTTCATCCTATTAAGGGACTTCTCAACAGTCCGCATCCATGATTGTAAAGTTAAACATTGAAATTTTTTAATGGAATTGTCAAATTCGTTCTTATATTCGCTTTATTTATCCTTTGTAAACACAAGAGAAACGATTACAATGAAATATATATATATATATATATATATATATATATATATATATATATATATATATATATATATATATATATATATATATATAAGGCGAATATAAGAACGAATTTGACAATTCCATTAAAAAATTTCAATGTTTAACTTTACAATCATGGATGCGCACTGCTAAGGAGTCCTATACTATAACCTTACAACAGACTGTTATGACCACTTATAAGTATCTTACACATTTATTATTGGTTAAAACTCCTAAAATTAGACAAAAAATCTATTTATTTATTTGTATAGCTAGTAAAAAGGTTGATTAAAGTTTTGAGCAAGTCACCAGTTTCATTTAATATATTCTTCAATGTTATTGAGGGCTAGGGATAAACTCCACGTTTTCGAGTCTTTTAAGTGTATTGTAATCACTAGTGTAGGAGAGAACAAGCAAGCTTCCAGCTGATTAGGAAATTAGACAAAGATGTTGGAAGTGGATGGGACAAACAATGAGGAAGTCATCAAACTCTACCATCAGGAAAGCGCTTACTCGAAATCGTGAAGAGGAATGGAAAAGAGGAAGACTAAAAAACACAGTTTGTTGAGAACTACAGGCAGATATGAAAAGAATGAATAGCAACTGGGAAAAACTGGAAAGGATTGACGAGGACAGAGTTGAATGGAGAATGATTGTGAGTGGTCTATGCTCATTAACCAGGGGTAACATGCGTAAGTAAGTATTAATTGGAACACTTCATATATGATAAGTGAAATGGATTTACGAAAGATATCCATAGAGGTGACAAATTGAAAAAAAGCGTAGAATACAACGGACTTCGACTACGCAGATGACCTAGCCCTTCTATCCCATATATATATATATATATATATATATATATATATATATATATATATATATATATATATATATATACCAACAAATACAGCTCAATACAAACAGCGCAACAACAGACTCTGCATCAGTAGGCCTAAACATACAAAAAACGATAAAGCAACATCCTCATATACAACACAGAAAACACCAACACAATCACACTTGATGGGGAAACTCTGGAAATGGTGGGAACTCTCAATTATCTGGGAAAAATCATCTATGAACAACGAGAATCTGATGCACACATACAGGCAAGGATTGGCAGAGTAAGGACAGCATCACTACAGTTGAACAACATATTAAACTCAAAACAACTGTCAACCAACATCAAAGTCACAATCTTCAATACGAATGTTAAGATAGTTCTACTGTATGGAGCTCAAAGTTGGGGAACTTCCACAACCATCATCAAAACTGTACAAGTATTAATAAGCAGTTGTCTACACTGGATACTCAATTTATGTTGATCAGATGCCGTCAGCAACCGTGTACTATGGGAGAGGACAAACCAGCTTCCAGCTGGTGAGTGAATGAGGAGAAGGCGTCAGAAGTGGATAGGATACACATTTCGGAAATCAACGAAGTACACGGAATCCTGAATTGAGAAGGGAAAAATAGGGAGGCCGAAAAACACTTCAGGTCTAGAATGGGAAACAGACATGATAAGGATGAATAGCAGCTGTGAAGAACGGGAAATTATTGTCAAGGAAATGGTTGGATTGAGAACGCTTGTGGGTGGCCTATGCTCGTTGACCAGGGGTAACAGGAGTAAGTAAGTATTAATTGGAACATTTCGAATATTATGATCATTAGTTAGGGATAGTAAATCATTCCATAAACCAGTAAGTTTACATTGACTGAGGTAATCAAGACATGCGTTTCATATGCCCAGTGTTAGAGAAGGCTGAAAAAGGCTAATCTTGTTCAAATTAAGATACGGCACTAATCTATGGCTTTATTGATTGTAAAACAGAGTTGTGTAGGTCGGCAAGCTATGATTGATAACCGTAGGTGACCCAGATCAGAGAAGGTTATATTCTCGTAGATACATATATATTCATTATTTGTTATCCCATAAATATTTACTTCTTATATAATATCATACGTTTCACTACAAGTTCTCAATGGGGCTTTTGAAAAATTTTCAGTTTGTTTTCCTTTTTTGTTAATACCATAATACTAGTTTCTTAGATTTTCATCTGATCAATTTTTTTCTCTGTCCGCCAATAAATATGGTGTAATAAAACGGTTTAATTCATCTTTGTTTCATATGTTACACCGTTTATGATACTCAAAGCTCATTAAATCTTATGATGTAGAAAACTAGACAAGTTAACCTTTCTTCATAGTAAATGTGTAGATTTACAATGTGTTATAACTTGTGGCCTTGTGCCTTATTCATATATAACGTAATGATACTGCCAATTAGAGAACTTGACTTATCGACCGGACCAATAACGCATAAACCCGTACGAGCAGTCTAAAATCCGTATCGATCCTTCTCCTTACTTAGCCCTGCCTGTTAGAGTCCAGAACACCAATCTCAACCGCTGCGATAAGAATCATGTATTTCAAACATACTGGGTCTATATACAAAATGTGGGAGACTGTAATTAATAGATTGGGCATAACTGAAAACGGTGAATCGTATAATAATAGTCTATGGATCAAAATGAAGCTTATACTAAGGAGGAACATGAATATGCATAGTTTAGTTACTTAACAAGTATACAATAAAAATATATGTATCGTATTGTTGCATAAATAATTCTCAAAAGTTACAATGTTTCACAGTTTTATTGTCTCCAGTAACATAGTGGTTTGTTGTTTGGATTAGTTTTTCTTAGCTTTTAATGTTATTACTGATGAAGAACCATAATAGTATTACTTTAATTGTTATGATATTTCGCCAACACTCAAATGAATGGTTTCACAAATTTTAAACATCAAGCACCTAGAAAATATTCAATACAAAAATATATTTATAAAAACCTCAGTAATTGAAGTTAAACAGTACTAATATTTCAGACGACAACCAACACTAAAGTCAGAATTTTCAATACAAATGTCAAGACAGTTCTACTGTATGGGACGGAAACTTCGAGAACTACGAAGGCCATCATCCACAACATACAAGTGTTTATTAACAGTTGTCTACGCAAAATACCTCGGATCCGTTGACCAGACACTATTAGCAACAACCTACTGTAAGAGAGAACAAACCATATTCCAGTGGAGGGAGAAGCGCTGGAAGTGGATAGGACACACATTGAGGAAAGCACCCAACCCTCACTTGAAATCCTCAAGGTCAAAGGAGGAGAGGAAGACCAAAGAACACATTAAGCCGAGAAATGGAGACAGACATGAGAAGAATGATCAAGAATTGGATAGAACTAGATAGGAAGGTCGAGGACAGAGTGTGTTTGAGAATGCTGATCGGTGGCCTATACTCCATTAGGCGTAACAGGTGTAAGTAAGTAAGTAAGTAATATTTCAGTCGACAGCTTAGTACTAATTTTTCTAGGGGAAATAATTATAAATATTTCTCATCATGAAACATGTAGTTGACTTTCTCTAAGGCTTAACAAACAAACAAAAATTATTAGCTAAGTTACTGTTAATATAATTTTCAACAGTTGATAAATCGAAATTACCAGTTTAAACAACTAATTAACTGAGATGAAGATAATCATTTGAAGATTTAATTGAAAAATATTAAATGACTCTATGTATCACATTAGATATAAATGAACAATAGTAAAATATATAATATTATCCGACAATTGAATATTCCATCATTAATTAACTTATATAGAATATACCAGTCAATCAAAATGTGTTCAGTTAATGACCATGTGATATTATAGATGAATGTAAATAGTTAAATCAGCTGATACCATTATTGTTATTATTATTATTATTACTATTATTATTATTACTACGTGTTTTTGATAGTTATTTAATTAAATAGTAACTTATAGTTATGTAAACTATCTGTAATATCACATGAAATTCTTTAGTTGATCGGTCAAATATTACATGTTGTCTAGAATACAAATTTAAGTATAACCTTGAATTATATAATTGATTAAGTTTATAGTAAATCAATAAAATAAACATAGTTCAATATCACAACTCTTATGTTGTTTTTTTTTCCTTTTTGCATATCATCAACAATTAGAAATCATTATAGAAAGTATTTTGTTTTATTATTATGATATAAAGGAATGTAACAAGTAAAGGATCAAAATACAAAAGTAAATTTCACTAGTGACTGACTTCAGGAGACACTCCTGAAGTTCTAGTGAGAAGTAGTTACCAGTGGAGTTCAACCAGGTCTGTTGTAAGATATCAACTCACTGAAGACAATGGTGTACGGTGGAGCAACTTCGTGGATTGGTTGAAGTTAGACATTAACACTGTTGGATGCCGGCTAGCTCAGTGGTTTAGTGGTTAAGCGCCTGGCGCGAGACTGATATGTCCTGGGTCCAAATCTCACGGGGTGCGGGATCGTGGATGTGCACTGTTGAGAAGTCCCATACTAGGAAGAATCGGCCTTTGAGTGCTTCCAGGTTTTCCATGGTGATCTAACTTCAATTGACTCATGATCTCAAGTATTGGAATCAATCTTTTATTTTTAACTGAGTTTTTTTTAATTATCAAATAAAACAATGATCTAAAGTCTATCATCATTCTATGAAGTGATTTTTTAGATTACAACTGAAACCTTTGTTATATAATCTAATTAATAGTGTGAAGGATTGAATGACCACGTAATTAATTCTGTAAGATTTTTCAAACTGTTCTTCTAGATGTTTACGTTATACTAATCTTTAACCTTATACCTGAAAACATCAGCTTTTAAAAACCTAACAATCGTTCGCCTAACTTGGCCGAAAACATAGATGTAGTGGTAGTAGTAGTAGTAGTAGTAGTAGTAGTAGTAGTAGTAGTAGTAGTAGTAGTAGTAGTAGTAGTAGTAGTAGTAGTAGTAGTAGTAGTAGTAGTAGTAGTAGTAGTAGTAGTAGTAGTAGTAGTAGTAGTAGTAGTAGTAGTAGTAGTAGTAGTAGTAGTAGTAGTAGTAGTAGTAGTAGTAGTAGTAGTAGTAGTAGTAGTAGTAGTAGTAGTAGTAGTAGTAGTAGTAGTAGTAGTAGTAGTAGTAGTAGTAGTAGTAGTAGTAGTAGTAGTAGTAGTAGTAGTAGTAGTAGTAGTAGTAGTAGTAGTAGTAGTAGTAGTAGTAGTAGTAGTAGTAGTAGTAGTAGTAGTAGTAGTAGTAGTAGTAGTAGTAGTAGTAGTAGTAGTAGTAGTAGTAGTAGTAGTAGTAGTAGTAGTAGTAGTAGTAGTAGTAGTAGTAGTAGTAGTAGTAGTAGTAGTAGTAGTAGTAGTAGTAGTAGTAGTAGTAGTAGTAGTAGTAGTAGTAGTAGTAGTAGTAGTAGTAGTAGTAGTAGTAGTAGTAGTAGTAGTAGTAGTAGTAGTAGTAGTAGTAGTAGTAGTAGTAGTAGTAGTAGTAGTAGTAGTAGTAGTAGTAGTAGTAGTAGTAGTAGTAGTAGTAGTAGTAGTAGTAGTAGTAGTAGTAGTAGTAGTAGTAGTAGTAGTAGTAGTAGTAGTAGTAGTAGTAGTAGTAGTAGTAGTAGTAGTAGTAGTAGTAGTAGTAGTAGTAGTAGTAGTAGTAGTAGTAGTAGTAGTAGTAGTAGTAGTAGTAGTAGTAGTAGTAGTAGTAGTAGTAGTAGTAGTAGTAGTAGTAGTAGTAGTAGTAGTAGTAGTAGTAGTAGTAGTAGTAGTAGTAGTAGTAGTAGTAGTAGTAGTAGTAGTAGTAGTAGTAGTAGTAGTAGTAGTAGTAGTAGTAGTAGTAGTAGTAGTAGTAGTAGTAGTAGTAGTAGTAGTAGTAGTAGTAGTAGTAGTAGTAGTAGTAGTAGTAGTAGTAGTAGTAGTAGTAGTAGTAGTAGTAGTAGTAGTAGTAGTAGTAGTAGTAGTAGTAGTAGTAGTAGTAGTAGTAGTAGTAGTAGTAGTAGTAGTAGTAGTAGTAGTAGTAGTAGTAGTAGTAGTAGTAGTAGTAGTAGTAGTAGTAGTAGTAGTAGTAGTAGTAGTAGTAGTAGTAGTAGTAGTAGTAGTAGTAGTAGTAGTAGTAGTAGTAGTAGTAGTAGTAGTAGTAGTAGTAGTAGTAGTAGTAGTAGTAGTAGTAGTAGTAGTAGTAGTAGTAGTAGTAGTAGTAGTAGTAGTAGTAGTAGTAGTAGTAGTAGTAGTAGTAGTAGTAGTAGTAGTAGTAGTAGTAGTAGTAGTAGTAGTAGTAGTAGTAGTAGTAGTAGTAGTAGTAGTAGTAGTAGTAGTAGTAGTAGTATATTTCAGTAGTCTTATCTTTAAATAATCTCATCAATAGAAGTCATAGTCAATTTCAGAATAGTTGAATGTGACCATATAAAAAAAAAATTAATTAAATACTACTCCCAAATTTATGACTCAGTCCAAAGTTGATGTTACATCAATCTTCTCTATTTGAATAATTTCAAAGGTATAATCCACCCTTCAGCATCCCATTTTCTCAATCAAACAAATGAGTCATTCATAATGTGGACAGATATAAGACTCATTTATTGCTCTCTAACGGCTCTTTCATATCCACATTCTATGACTCACAGGTAGGATGATAAAAGTTTTTTTTTATAATAAGAATAAAAAAAGAATTATTTTTTTTTCTGTTCATTCATTGAAACAAATAAATTCAATGTCACGGTTACTAAGACAACAAGTTAAACACAAATGATATCATGGTAAATTTTAGATTTATTCAAGCAATAAAATGTTTACACGTTTGAATAGTAGTTAACATTGAAACCAGGACAACTGTTTAGTTCTACTTGAAACAGTCGTCAGCTCGATGTGACTGTATCTCTGTGTTGATAATGTCACTGGAATATTGTTGAACTCAGTAATAGTCGATTTAAAATAACCAATAAATTATTCACTAAGCTACTGAATCACAATATTGGGATATTGTATTTATTCTTATTCACTTTTGAATATTTATAGTGTGAAATAATAATTGACACTGCATTATTTCAATAAAATTTACATTTGATCAGAATAACTGTAACCAGTTGATATGTGATCAATAATTGTGTAGGATTTCTACCGGAAGTTTGTGCTGATGATATCATTCAGAAGAACGATGATAGCTCCACGATCAAACCATCTAGCTCAGAAAACAAAAATCCATTAAAATAACATTTGATGACATTGAACTATTTGGATAAGTTATCAATATGTATCTTTTTTATATTTACACTGATTGCATTGTTTCATCCATTAAGTAATCTAGGTAGGCTAATGTTATACACACCATAATCAATTATTGTTCTATTTTTGTGAATCCTTTTCAGAGTACCTCATCGATAAAATTAAATCCAATGGTTAAAATGAGAAAGATAAACCAATTACGATGGATGAAAATTTAAAGATGACTGATTACTTTATGACCTAAATTTTTATCCTTAATTAATTCCTTTGTTAACTATCAAGTGATTTTTAGTAATAAAATCTTATTTAGATATTTTCATAAATCTAGAAATTACAATGTAAGAGAACTATAAAGATAATTGAATTTTATAATTTACATCGTGAACTGACCTTATAGTTAGATAAATATTAAAAATCAAGAAGTAATCAAAGAGCAATTGTTTCATTCTGGTAGAATCTCCTCAAAGATGCACATATATAAGTAATAACTTTAATTTCTTTTAAAATATTCACACATATGCACACTCACACGCTTAGTCATTGAAATGTACAGACATTATTTAGTGGTAAATAAATGTCCAAAATAAATAGTTTTGCAAGTCTTTGACATTGATGCAGACCTTATAAATTCTAATGGACATATCCCTCACTGAAAGCACTCTGTCGGACATTCAGACTAGAACACATTTGAATACATCGTCCTGGGCATCACTTACGACAATAGTCAGCTTAGATTCCTCACACAACATAACAGTGATCTTTAATCCGAATATGTATTCATGTTCTCGACATCTGGTTTTATTGGCTTTGGGATCGTTAAGTAAAAAAATACATTTCGGAAAGTTGATTAGTCAACTAATAAAAAATGAACAAATCACCTTAATTCTCACATGGATCATTACTCAGTAATCAATCAGTTGTAAATATCTCAGTCCTGCAGTAGGTCCAGTTGTAACAGCTAGGTGATACAGGTTCAAATCTCAAGAAACACATTATTCCCCCATAAGGTTATAGATACACCTTGCTGAGGAATAACAGCTAACAAGAAATCTAGGTTCAGGGCTTCCTGTCCGCTACTTAAAAACACCTGAGCTTATATACTAGTCGCTTTTGATACTAATGGATTCGGAATCTAACCACAGACCCTTTTAAACGCTGAGGTCAGGTTTTATCCGTGTGATTGGTGTTGATTATTTTGGTTAAACACATTGTATCTATCCTGCGTTTAATGTTTAGCAGGTTGGACGCGATTGAACTTTGAAGACTTCCCTTTCTGCGACAAAATTTCTGTGGAATATGCTGACTAAAAGTCCTAGATACTCATCTTCATATCTTTCTGATGTGCTTGCTTTTTCCATGTATACATAGCTTATGAGAAAGTACAAAATACAATGAAGTTACCGTATTATGTAGAGATTATTGCCATTGCTTTGTCTACATTTGCGATGGAGAACCAGCTGCACAGAGTCCCATAACAATTTTAAGACAGATTTTGTTAAGAAATGACAACATTCAGGAAAACTATGGAAAACGACGGGATAGTGATTACCTCCGAATTTCAGGACAAAGTAACAGTTTACAAAATAAACTGAATATAGGAGACAGAACATAGAATTTTCATATTTAAATCATTTGATATCCACTCAATGATCCAAAAGTAACGTACATCTTGGTCTCCCTAAAAATCATTGGTTCGATCCCTTACATGATCACGAGTGAACACTGTTGAAAATAAGTGTGTTACGATATTTCTATGTATGCCCCACTACGGTTCAATTAACACTTTCTACTGTATATGATCAAAAGATCAACAGCCAATGTAATATTCTAATCGATTCCCGAAATGATTAATTAGAATGATGGAAACGCCAGATTAATACCTTTCACTCATTGTACCTGATTCAGACTATATATCTTTATATACTTAATTCCCAGAGACAAGCTTTAATAGCTTCATATTTACAATTATTTACTCAGTATTCCTCAAGATTCAACTGCTGTCTAATTGGAATTAATCGATGATGTAAATTATCTTCAAAATTGATAACCGTTAGAAAAAAAGTTGTATAACGTCAGTTTCTGTATGGTTGGTAGGTACTCGGCATGGAATTGAAATAATCGAGCTCGTTATTATAGATAAACAGTCTACAAGGTAGAAAAAAAAACTGGCATTAGCCAAAGTCTTGTAAGCTCATTTATAATTATATACATTCAAAACCCATATCGTTACTTAACTAATTCTAATCAAGTCTACAAAAAGAATATTTCAATTTTTTTTTTTAGTTGAGCTATGAACATAGAAATAAACCAAACCTTCAGAAGGGATTATTTAAAGACATATGAGTCATACAAGTGCATACAAACATATTTAAAGAATAATTTTGATTGAATATTTTACTCACCCACCCCCGTCCGTTGAGAAAAATACATTTGTCCTAATTCTTGAAAAAAAAAGGAAATAAAAAAATGTAATTTAATAACTGGTTACAATTTATTGTATTATTATAGATCAATGAAATCATTTGGAAACTATTTATTGGTCATTTATACAATTAAATGTTACCTTGATATACTTATATGCACTCTGTAAGGTAGAGTTCATTAATTCACAAATAAGTTGAATCAAGTGATCTACAACTAACTTTGAATACATGCACTTAGAAAAAGAAGAAGAAGACGAAGAAGAAATGAGTAACGTGATATCGTCAAGCTTCTAATGTAACGCAGTTGTTAGTTAGTTAGTTACATCAGATTTAAAGTAAGGTTAAACTATTATTTTTTTGAAATAAGACTATTATAGTAATTCCAAGTGGAATAATTTACTTGCAATAATACTCGTAAGAAATAGTGTTTACGTAAAAATGCTGTAATGGTATTAAAAACCACTATCCATATGGTATATTTCAGTCATAATCACAATATCTTTAATATATGGCTGATTTTGATCTCCTATTGATATCCTTTAGTGTCATTGACAATCCGGGTATATGGATAATTATTTTGTTCTACTATCAGACTCCTTCTCAACAGTGCTTAGTCAGGATCTCATTAGGAACTGAACCCAGAACCTTCAGGTCTTGTTTCATACGTTGAAACTTCACATCACAATATTGGCTACTAGTTGTCTACATTCCCAACTTCAACCAGTTTGTGATAATGTATAATTGTCACTATCTCACTTTCAATATAGTTGGATTCCAACGGTCATGACTTCCCACTATAGTCTTGGGAACTTATCTGTAAGCAAATCACTAAAGAGAACAGAATTTAACACTTATCTTTTTTGCAATATATGGGAATAAATAAAGGTCAATGTATTTGTTTCTTTTCTCATTTATGCATGTTAGTTATTAAAGCACTAATGAAAATCTTATTTGTCAAACAAGGCTGATAACTATTAGACTTGAAAGAAACAAAATACTTAGTTCGTAGCAAAGTTTAAGTCTTGGCTTAATGATAATCTGGTTACAACACTAGAATTAAATCTAATGATCTATATTTCGAGCATTAATCAATTTGCGAAATAAAGCAATTACCAACTAATTCCATTGTATATTTACTGTTTCCGTTAGGGTAAATTACGTATGAACTTCAAGTTGAATATGGTCTAGGGGATAACTATTCGAATAATTATTGACATTTACGAATTACTAAAAATCTTTATTAAAGCGTAGCAATAACCATCAATGTATATCTTTATACTTGAAGGTGTTTTATGCTCTGAGCTGCATAGTGAAATCGTGAACCCATCATTGCTCTTCTGGATAACATCATCAGTGAACACTTCAACATGAAGTAACCTATAACATTTATTATAAGACAATATTTAGTTGATTTCTTCTTTGATGGTACTCCTTTTCAATATTTTTCTATCAATTCATCCGTAAAAAGAAAAACAATTAAATTCAATATTCTGTTACATTTTCTGGGTGTATACATTTTCTAGGTTTGCTGTCAAAGACAAGAAACAGACACAATTAATAAAATCATCAACTAACTGGTTTGAAGAAACATTAAATAAAATTAGTATTTACACTATTGAGTTAAAATGAAGCTAATTACTTACATTATTGAGTTATTGAACTAAATAAACCACTATTCATTAGTTTACTTAAAGGAGTTTTGTGAAGATTAGTTTGATTTGTAGGTTGTATTTAACATAAATTGATCTTATTTGGAGTGCAAGTGGAAACCAAAGAAAAAAATTGGATAACTGTCTCTTCCTAGCATAGGATATTTCAGAAGTTCATATATACGCCCCCTCCTACGACTGAACTTAATGATTAAAACCACCGAGTTTAACGTCGAATCGTACAAATCTAGCTTCAACACAATTTGTGATAGATCATGAAGATAATCCGATACAGTTGGTGAGGAAAATTTCACTGCTTATATGTCGGAAATTCATTGGTTACAACTTCTCCCTAGAAAAAGTAAGCCATTAGCAAGTTGAATATTATGGTTTATTCGAAGGGGTTTTGTATAAGTTGATTTATTTTGTAATTTATATTCTTCATAGATTCATTCCTATTAGTGGATTATCAAAAACCAGAGATAATCGGACAGATGTTCTTTCCTTATATGGAACCTTTCATTAATACTAATAAGACAAAACATCTGTTCAGAATCCTCTGGTTACTGGTAGTAATCCGAATGAGACAATTCATTGATAAACACAAACTATATACTATTCATTAGGTTCATCAGTATCAGTTTACAAGTATTTCCTGACATGATCACACATAATATTATGAGTAACCATAGTTACTCATAATGAATCGGTCATAGGAGCTACTATATATAAATTTTATTAAATATGAAAATTTTAAAACTTCTATGAACAATTAACATGGAAGGTCATTAAATATAGGTGTTCAATTGTTAATGAACTGTTTATTGAATAATCTAAATATAATTTGTAATTTGAAGGTGGGAGGGATTGTGAAGGGAAAAAATTAAAAATGAACAAAAGAAAATGCCAACCAAATAACTTATTAAGTACCATACGATGTATCTTATAATAAATCGATAACCATAAATAATGACTTACTTACTTACTTACTTACTTACGCCTGTTACTCCCAATGGAGCATAGGCCGCCGACCAGCATTCTCCAACCCACTCTGTCCTGGGATTTCTTTTCTAATTCCATCCAATTCTTGTTCATTTTTCTCATGTTTATCTCAATTTCTCGGCGTAATGTGTTCTTTGGTCTTCCTCTTTTCCTTTGGTCTTGACGATTCCATGTGAGGGCTTGTCTTGTGACGCAGTTCGGTGCTATCCTCAATATGTGTCCTATCCACTTCCAGCGCTTCTTCCTGACTTCTTCCTCCGCTGGGATCTGGTTTGTTCTCTCCCACAGTACGTTGTTGCTAATAGTGTCCGACCAACCGATCAGAAGTGTTTTACGTAGACAACTGTTAATAAACACCTGTATTTTCTGGATGATGACTTTCGTAGTTCTCCAGGTTTCTGCCCCATATAGTAGAACTGTCTTGACATTTGTATTGAAAATCCTGACCTTGGTGTATAAATAATGACAGGTAATAATAATTTGCATAAGTATGAATCAACTACAATCCGGTAATTGTAATGAGTAATAAATGTAGTCAGATTGGAATTAATATCATTTGAACATTAAAAAAAAATTAATAATGATAAACCAATGCTAAAATGTATAATTAGAAAGCAACACACTGTATTTTTATACTTTGTTTTGTCCATTGTCATAAATCTTGATGGTAATGATGATGTTAGCCTAACTGTCTCCTAATACATTTGTTCGTCTAGACACAGATATCATATGTAATTGAATAGTCATAGACTAACAAAATTCATTTTAATCTCAGTAAAATAATGTGTCGAAGTAGTTTTTAAAAAATACTAACAAAAGACTATGAAATTCTGAACGATGAAAGCTGCACTACCAAACCATTCAGTTCAGAGAACAAAACTTTATCAAAATCATCCACCTGAGTTACAAATCTTCTCCACTATCTCACTATGAGATTAAGTTATTTTCTACAAAAAAAAAATGTGTCTAAACAAATAATGTTCTCTAGTTTGTTTTTCTATTTTTTGTAGATTGTATTTATCATGAACTAATTCCATTTAGGTTACCAGTGAAAACTATAAAGCAATAAACGGTTCTTTCGTTCTAATAATGATAGACTTTAGCAGTGCATATACATGATTTCTACAGAGATAGAAACCAGGACACTCAGGTCTATCGGCGATGGCTTAACTATTAGAAACACTAAGTTATTGTTCAATGGTACTAAACCACATTCAACTGATTTAAGATAATAACATGATATCATCCTGAGTTTGATCCCTAATAGGGTAGTGAGTGCGCAGTGCTGAGAGACCTTGTACTAGAATGAAAAAGATTTTATTTTTATTGAAAAGTGCTATGGAGATTAGTTTAATTTTTATGTGACTTTCGTCACTGACTGATATCAACTAGCTTACCATTAAGAATCTAGGGCATTGAACAACTGTTGTGTCCTAATATGAGATTATATCTCAATTGTGCTTACTTACTTGTTCACCACGTATAGAATCGAGGGGGGGTATTAAAATCTAGTAGTGAGTACTTAAACATTAGAGCATTGAGTTAAAATTTAGTATTCTATATTTCATGTTCATAATGCTGTACAACTATCATTCAGTCACGTTGTAGAAGTGAAGGATCATTTATTCCTATTCTTAACTAATCATTTGTAAACATTTTCATATAAATGAATCACAATGTTTCCGTTAAACTAGATAGTTTCCTTAGGGAAGGAGGTCAGAAATTTTTGAAATATTGTTTGATTGGTAAGTTATATTAGTTAACAAAAAATCCAAGCATATATGAAACTCAAAATAATTTTAAATAAATATCTACATAAGTTTAATAATAAATTATTTTGTTAAACTTCCATATGATTGTTCTTTCCAAATATTTCTCATATACAATCATATTAATACATATAATCTTATTGTTATTCTAAATAGTTGGGCTTAATTGAATATATTATTTTCTTTTAATGGAAGGAACTTTTGAACAGTGTTCATTTACAGCCCCATTGGCGAAGGAATCCAGGACTTTCGTTATGATAGTAAGCTCTTAAGTTATAGACCACAGAGCTAGTATCTAATGGGTCCTTTACCTAACTATTCATGATACCGCGCAACAATCTTTCATTATCACTGATGGATAAGTGACTAAAACTCGTTATCGTTGAACTCTACTGGTCACCTCTTGTTACTTGGATTAGTGACGCTGAACAGATAGATCATGAACAAAGTAAAGGAAAAGTCACAAACCTGTATCAGTACAAGTATTTGTTCAAACTACCAAATTTCATCTGGTATTAAGAGAATAAGGAAGAAATATACTAAAAGTAAGAATGAAATTAAAAGATGAAATAGTTGAACTAAAACGA